GAAGCATTTATAGCGTTATGGTTCGAACAAAATTCGTCAGTGAAGCACTTGTTCCGGAAGTGTTTGAACGAAATCAGTTGAGAGTCGTGTGTAATCCGTTTTTTATTTATAAACCAGCCCGTCCTCCAAACAAAGATCCAAAAGTGATTCCATGCACCCGCCAAACCCCCTGTTTATGAATGAAAAGCGGTTTACACACGACTCACAACTGCTGGCGTTCGAACATATCCGGAACAAGTGCTTCACTGACGAATTTTGTTCGAACCACAACGCTATAAATGCTTCACCCACGTACTACAAATACAAATAATCACCAACAGAACCTAAACACCTAACCTAACCTATGCCTATTTATACACAATATGCTAATATATTATAATATTAATTTATACTTGAGAAAATTCCCGTTTTGAATAAACAGCATGTTAAAATTTATGAATGCGTCTGTGGGGTTGACCGCTGAATGTAATGGACTTGAGTCGAGGATGGGTTGTATAAACAGAGGGTTTGGCGGGTGCATGGAATCACTTTTGGGTCTTTGTTTGGAGGAAGGGCTGATTGGTCTGATGCTCCGGCTACTGATTTTGTGAGGATCGTTGATCGCCTGCTGCTGCTGCTTGTGAGGACGGGTCGTTGTTCTACTACTGCTGCTTGTGAGGACGGGTCGTTGTTCTACTGCTGCTGCTTGTGAGGACGGGTCGTTGTTCTACTGCTGCTGCTTGTGAGGACGGGTCGTTGTTCTACTGCTGCTGCTTGTGAGGACGGGTCATTGTTCTACTGCTGCTGCTTGTGAGGACGGGTCATTGTTCTACTGCTGCTGCTTGTGAGGACGGGTGTAGGTACTCAGAGTTGTACTTCCTGTTCTGATGCAGTCCTTTATATGTATAGGCCTACTGACATGCTTGCACATATTTACGCAAGAATGCTTACATAACTAGAGCAACAAAAACTGATAATCACATAATTGGTTTTACGCATGACAAAGGTGACCAAAACGGCGGAAGTGGCGGCGACTCCAGGTGTGTGGAGTGGCGGCGGCGGCCGGTGGGTACGTGTGGCCGGGAGCGAGGCCGCGTTAACTGCTCACCAGGACAAGGGAAGGGGTGAAGTTCTCTTCTCTGTTGTGCACACGTAATGGGAAGTGTTTCTGGCACACGCATGCACAAGAACAAACAAATATGCATGCACGCACCAGGACACACACGGAGGAGTAACGGAGGAGTGTTATTAGCAGAGTACAACAGGGTTCAGTTTTTGCACCAGTAATGTTCATCGTCTACATAAACGATCCACCAGAAGGAATACAGAATTATATGAACATGTTTGCGGATGATGCTATTATCAAGGCAAATGGGAGGACCTTCGACAAGCCGCCGGCTTCCTGTCCTCATCGAGGATACTAGTGTCTGTGTCCCTCTGGTAAATACAGATATGTGCTAAGATACTGGGGAAAATAGGAGACGATTGTAATGCCCTTCAAACCGATCTAGATAAAATAAGTGCTTGGAGCGAAATGTGACAAATGGAATTCAATGTGAATAAATGTCATGTCAAAGGAGAGAATCCTAAGTGAGGGAATCATCCAACATATCAGAGAACAATCTTGTAAAATCCACGCAACATGGCTTTGTTTACAACAGATCCTGCCTTACAAACCTGCTCACATTTCTGGAAACGGTAACCGGCAATTCAGACAAAGGACTTCCGGTAGATGTAGCTTACATGGACTTTGTTAAAGCTTTTGACAAAGTACAACATGTAAGACTGTCAAGGAAATTACAGGCTCATGGAATAAATGGAAGAATACCAGAATGGATAAAACAATGGTTAAAGTAAATAAAACAAAGGGTCGTACTAAATGGGAATGAATCTGACTGGGGGGATGAACTTAGTGGGGTGCCACAGGGGTCCATTTTGGGGCCAACCCTTTAGGTCATATACATCAATGACATGGGTGAGAATATTACAAACCACATAATCATCAGATTTGCAAATGACACTAAGATCTATGGTAAACTGGAAAGTGAAAGTAATATCGAGACCTTGCAAAAGAGATTTACATATGAACTCCACAAATAGTCAAATGACTGGGAAAATGCTTTTTAATGTCGATAAATGCAAGACTTTGCATATGGGGCATAACATTCCACGTCACAACTACCAAATAGACAACACTACCTTATAACAGATAGATGAAAAGGACCTTAGAGTCAGAATCCATCATTCACTAAAGGTTGCACAACTAGTGGGAGCTGCAGTAAAAAAAGCGAACCAAACCTTTGGCATAATCAAGCGTACATTTACCTTCAAGGGAAAAGAAGATAGTCATTCAATTGTATAAGTCTCTGGTGCGCCCCCACCTGGATTATTGCAGCTAGGCAGGGAGACCTCATCTTCAGAAAGACATAGCTGCTCTGGAGAAGGTGCAACACCGGGCAACAAAAATCATACCAGAGCTGAGTCATCTCTCATATCAGGAACGGTTGAGAGCCACGGGGCTAACAACACTACAGACCAGGTATGACAGTGTGGATCTCATCGAAACCTTTAAATAACTGAACCATTTGGAGGATGTTGATCCGGACATTTGCTTCAAAAGGTCAAATGTAACACGAACGAGGAGCAACGGGTTCTAACTCAACAAGCTACAATGTAGGACAGAAAACAGGAGATGCTTTTTCACCATAGGGTTGTAAACCCGTGGAAACGCCTACCCGCCGAAGCCGTAAACGCCAAAACTCTGCTGGGTTTTAAAATACAGCTGGAAAAGATCAGGGCAAATGGAGGGGACCTTTGACACGCCGCCGGCTTACTGTCTTCGTCGAGGCCACTCAGGTAAATTCAGGTATGAGGTAAATGTTATGGAATGTGGAATCGGAGAAAATAGACCACACACAAATTATAAGTTATGTGGAAAGGAATTACAGAACTCGAATAAAAAACGAGATCTAGAAGTGGTTTGGGACAGTACACTGTCACCAGAGGACCATTATTGGAATATGCAGCAGTTGTATTGTGCCCATATCTCAAGAAGCACATCAGTAAACTAGAAAAGGTGCAAAGGCATGCTACAAAATGGCAGCATGACTGCATGCTACCATTCTTGTTTTATGCAGGTCGGTGTTCAATTCCCGACCATCCAAGTGTTTGGGCACCATTCCTTTCCCCAGTCCCATCCCAAATCTTTATCCTGACCCCCTTCCAACTGTTATGTAATTTTAATGACTTGGCACTTTCTCCCGATAATTCCCTTCCCTTATATTTCCAGTTTCCACAATTTTCCCTTCGCTTGCGCCTCTTCTTTTACTTCCACCACCCCCTTCCCCTTCCTCCACCAAAAAAAGTGATGGGCAGGGCATGATGGCAAATTCTTGGGATGTGGGCGGGGAGGAGTTAAGTACTTACGGTAACACAGGGTGTGGAAGGTACGATGTTCCCCAGAGTACCACGAGTCCTGCTGGGGGGTGAGGGAGTGGCACTCGCTGGGGTGAGGGAGTGGCACTCGCTGAGGGGAGGGGATGGCACTCGCTGAGGGGAGGAGATGGCACTCGCTGAGGGGAGGGGGTGGCACTCGCTGAGGGGAGGGGGTGGCACTCGCTGAGGGGAGGGGATGGCACTCGCTGAGGGGAGAGGATGGCACTCGCTGAGGGGAGGGAGTGGCACTCGCTGAGGGGAGGGGATGGCACTCGCTGAGGGAAAGACGTACGTGGCAATTGCAGCCACCAGTAATAATCAGTAATTGTAATTAATTGCGTTAAACAGCTGTCTATATTTTAGGAGGAGTTGTGTGTGGTGGGAAGTCTGGTGTTGGTTGAGGACTCCGGCAACAAAGGATCTCTGTGTGTTTAGAAGGTGCGACAACTGAGAAGCGTTTATTACTCTTAACCTGAGTGTTAGTGTAGAGCGGATGACAGGCAGGAAAAGGTAGGTGATGTCTCAAGACCTCAGCCAATGTCAACATTACAAGTCTTAAAGCATCTCTTATGTTAGCGGTACACCCAAGGACTTCAAGCCTTCCATCTTCACGTTTTTAGCCCCTACGTATGACTGATATATTCGTTTCTTCCTCCTTACCTTCCCTCCCCCTCTCTCCCACTATGCCTTTCCCACTACAACCCATCACCCACCCTCCCTCCCACAACAGCCCCTTTCCCTCCCACCTCTTGAACAAAGGTTTCGCGTCAAGGTCCCGTTAGTCTCCCAGTCTTGACACTCAACCTGCCACAAACCTATCTTCATTTATATATTTGTTTACTATTTCAACTTTACACTGTTTTTAACTTTCCAGTGACGGTTATGCTGGTACCCTGTGCCCGGGTGTTACACTGGTACCCTGTACCCGGGTGTTACACTGGTACCCTGTACCCGGGTGCTACACTGGTACCCTGTGCCCGGGTGTTACACTGGTACCCTGTGTCCGGGTGCTACACTGGTACCCTGTACCCGGGTGCTACACTGGTACCCTGTGCCCGGGTGCTACACTGGTACCCTGTGCCCGGGTGCTACACTGGTACCCTGTACCCGGGTGCTACACTGGTACCCTGTGCCCGGATGCTACACTGGTACCCTGTGTCCGGGTGCTACACTGGTACCCTGTACCCGGGTGCTACACTGGTACCCTGTGTCTTGGTGCCGGGCTGGTCTTGCCTATGGGTGTTGCACGGGCCGAACTTCCTGCAAGGGGAATAGTCAACCTGTCCTCTTGCAAAGATCGTCGCTTTTCGCTCGTATGCGTTACATAAGACCAAAAATTGTCGTACTAGAAAATGGAAGCGGCTCGCCAAAGTGACGTACTGTCCCGTTTTCTGTTTTGGGTCCTCTGATAGGTTAGGACACTTTAAATTGACCGTTTCTTGGCGATGGGAAACATTAGGGCTGGGCTGACCACTACGGTACAGCTGGTACCCTCCACCACTCGCTATTCATTCTTCATGCTTTAAAATGTATTGTACGTATATGTATCCCACAGCATGTCTCAAGTTGTGACATTTGTGTTACAGGCTGGTGTGATGTGTGAGGATGTCGGGTGAGGATGGAGTCCACACGTGTCTACTACGAGCACCCCGCCGCCCACGCCAACCTGCCGCCCAGGGTGCGTCTCACACACACACACACACACACACACACACACACACACACACACACACACACACACACACACACATGTTAGGGGGACATGATCACCACATTCAAGATTCTGAAGGGAATTGATAGGGTAGATAAAGACAGGCTATTTAACACAAGGGGAACACGCACAAGGGGACACAGGTGAAAACTGAGTGCCCAAATGAGCCACAGAGATATTAGAAAGAACTTTTTTAGTGTCAGAGTGGTTGACAAATGGAATGCATTAGGAAGTGATGTGGTGGAGGCTGACTCCATACACAGTTTCAAGTGTAGATATGATAGAGCCCGATAGGCTCAGGAATCTGTACACCTGTTGATTGACGGTTGAGAGGCGGGACCAAAGAGCCAGAGCTCAACCCCCGCAAACACAACTAGGTGAGTACACAGAACAGCCTTCAGGAACCTGTGTAAGGAATTATTCAGAATCTTGTATATCACATATGTAAGACCAATCCTGGAGTATACGGCCCCAGCATGGAGCCTGTACCTTGTTAAGCACAAGACGAACCTTGAAAAAGTTCAGAGGTATGCCACTAGGCTAGTCCCAGAACTAAAAGGCTTGAGTTACGAGGAAAGGCTGCGGGAAATGCATCTCAAGACACTGGAAGACAGAAGAGTAAGGGGAGACATGATCACTACCTACAAAATTTTCAGAGGAATTGACAGGGTAGATAAGGATAAACTGTTTAACACGGGTGGTACGCGAACAACGGGACATAGTTATCTTGAGTTATCTTGAGGGTTATCTTGAGATGATTTCGGGGCTTAAGCGTCCCCGCGGCCCGGTCCTCGACCAGGCCTCCACCCCCAGGAAGCAGCCCGTGACAGCTGGCTAACACCCAGGTACCTATTTACTGCTAGGTAACAGGGGCATTCAGGGTGAAAGAAACTTTGCCCATTTTGCCCACAGGGACGTTAGAAAAAACTTTTTCAGTGTCAGAGTAGTTAACAAGTGGAATGCGTTAGGCACTGATGTGGTGGAGGCTGACTCCATACACAGTTTCAAATGTAGATATGATGGAGCCCAGTAGGCTCAGGAACCTGTACATTAGTTGATTGACTGTTGAGAGGCGGGACCAAAGAGCCAGAGCTAACCCCCGCAAGCACAAATAGGTGAGTACACACACACTGTGTGTGGGAATCATTTCCTGGGATTCCTATCATTTCACAGGGATCCCTGTGTAAGGAATCATTTAGAGCCTTGTATACCTCACATGTAAGACCAATCCTGGAGTATGTGGCCCCAGCACTGAGCCCATACCTTGTCAAGCACAGGACTAAGCTGGAAAAAGTTCAAAGGTATGCCTCTTAGGCTGGTCCCAGAATTAAGAGGCATGAGTTACGAGGAAAGGCTGCATGAAATGAACCTAACGTCGTTGGAAGATAGGAGAGCTCGGGGAGGCATGATCACTACCTACAAAATTCTAAGAGAAATCGACAGGGTAGATAGATAAATTGTTTAACACGGGGGGGTATTTGAACAAGGGAACACAGGTGGAAACTGAGTACCCAAATGAGCCACAGGGACGTTAGAAAGAACTTTTTCAGTGTCAGAGTAGTTAACAGATGGAATACGTTCGGCAGTGATGTGGTGGAGGCAGACTCCATACAGTTTCAAATGTAGATATGATAGAGCCCAGTAGGCTCAGAAATCTGTACACCAGTTGAGTGACAGTTGAGAGGCGGGACCAAAGAGCCAGAGCTCAAGCCCCCCGCAAGCACAACTAGGTGAGTACGCATTATCTCTTAACATGAATTACGTGTAAATAATAATGAATAGTTTTGCCTTCATGTATGCAATTATTGTAGGCTGATATATTTATATTTTATGTTGCCTCTATGTAGCATTCCCATTAGCACATTATATCATTGTAGTGCTGCATGTTTCAGGACTATGGGGGCAGCGTGACCCCGGCCAAAGCCAGACGCTCCTGGAGTGATGTGCTCAAGTTCCGCTCTCACACCAAGGACCGTCACCTGACGCAGGTGACTGGCAATGCTCCTCCCTCCACCATGCCACCACCACCACCGCCCTCTCACAGCTATATGGCCGAGTACAGGCAAAAGTATGGAGCCTACAATGGAACAGTGGGTCGCTCCTCCTACCAAGCCATGACCGTGGTGAAGAGCATTTCTCCGCCACAAATCCCACCATCTGCCAGCCTCCAGAAAGGTTACCCCAGTCACGGTTACCCTACTAATGGTTATGCCAAGCATGTGACTTCAGGTGGCACAATCTCTGCTGCCACTAGGGCCACTATGGCCTCCACGGTGCGCTACACAGATTGGTTTGGTTCTGTGGTGGGTCGGCGCCCCCCAGTGCGGCCCCCACTGCCTACCTTTGTTGCCGCACCACCTCTGAAAACCACAGAGAAAAGCAGTCCTTGGGACCACTACGTGACGCTGGACCCTGTATATGAGGCGCCACATGTTGTGCCAGTTCAGCTATACACTAACGTATGTGTTTGTCCTAACCAGATGATCAACACCAGAGGACGAAAGAAGAAAAAATGTAAAAGATGTGGCAGGAAAGTTGCAAGCGTGCGACATGCCACCACTGGCGTAGCAGCAAAGGTGCGGCCAGCAATCCCAGCTAACATGTACCAACCTTCCCCTCCACAACTCCCGCCAGTGGCTCCTCAGCACACCTGGGGATGGCAGGTGCTGGAAGAGAGGGTCTATGAGCGGTATGAGGTACAAACTCGACCAAATGCCTACTCACCTGCTCATCCACTCAGTGATGAAGAGTCACCACCGCCAACGCCTGAAACAGTTCGTAGTATGAAAAGCGCAAAAAGTAGCGACAGCTCTGCAACCATTACTCGTGACACACCAGAGCCCAAAAGGACTGCCCCTCCTCCTCCCTCCCTCCCTCGTGCCCTCCCTTCTACTTCAGTCACACCTTCCATTAGTGCCAAAGAAAATTCTTCAACAAGTGACACGGGCGATAAACGCAGCTCCATATTGTTAGAAAATCCAACGGCTTACCAGCTGATTTCTCACTATGGCCAAACAGGAACACGCACAGGTTCAGACACTGACGAGCTTAGCGACAATGCCCTGGAAGTATCTTATGATAGCTGGGATACAGATTCTTCTCCAGCAGCAACCACAGGCCCTGTCCAGAAAGGGCAGGTTAATGTGATAACTATTGGTGATGCCCAGCCTCAGTCTGTTTCCATGATGCTGTCTCCCAAGATAGAAAATATCACTGACCTAAGAAATAAAGTCAGAATACCTGTACATACAAATTCTAATAAAACTGCCTATAGTCCGAATGATCAGTCTTCCAACTATAAGGAATTATTATCTAATTACACAAATAAGTTTCCATTAATAAAATATCACAGTTCATCAAGTAGTGAAAATTCACCACGAACTTCCTCTGACAGTAGGAGTGCACCGTCCAACACTAAGAGTTGCAGCAAGAGTGCGGACTCCGATAATGAACGTTCTTCACTTAATAGCAAGAGTATTGCACTGAATGGTAAATGTACCTCAGCCAATGATAGAATTGGCTCATCTAACAATAAAACTAGTGTCTCCAAAAATAGAAAGATTTCCAGTAACAAGAACTCATTGACTAGCGGTAAGAATACAGGATTGAATGAAAACATGTATAATGGGGGCAACAGTAGCTTGACCAACAAGATTTTAGCCTCCAGTGTAAAATTGCCTATGTTAGATGGCCAGAATAACCCTGCAATGAACGGCATCAGCAGTGGTTCCAGACTGGAGGTGAAGAAGTTGCATGAGACGAGTGAGTTACAATATGGAGGCAGCACTGTCCGCATTGCTGGCCAGCGCATGCTCGTCCTTACTCCTGGCTGCCCACAGACACACTCCCAGTCTGGATTTTCTAGTGAAGATGAAAATGAAGCGAGTGTTGAGGATGATACTAGTGATCATCCCAGTGATTATCCCATGTCCTCGCCAACTACTACTCGAGGTTCAGATACTGATACATTACTCGAGGAAGATGATTTACCACTTGATTTTTCAAATCCAACATATAACACTTCTAGTTCACATCATGAGCATTCTAGTCATAATTTTGACTCATCAGAGCCTCTACTTGATTCTTCTAATACGCAATGTGAACCTTGGACGCCAGCAAGAAATACCATCTTAGAGGAAGAAGAGATTAAAGATGAATGGCTGATTGGAACTAATCACAAAGGCGATATGCTTGATGATGATGATGAATCGGCTTTACTTGGAGATGAAGATGAAAAAGATGACCCAAGTGTGAGTTCTTCATCAACCAACTCACCACTACGCCAGAAGGGCATTCATACCACACTCTCAGAACTCTTGAAAGTCAAGTCTATTTTGAAAAAACCACCTTCAGTCGACACTAGTTCAGAAACCGACTCAGATTTTTATTTGCCAACATTTTCCGAGTTCAAACAAAATCAAAGGAAGAAGAAGCAAGTGCAGTTTAGATCGTCACATGATGTAACGGTGATAGAGGATGCTGGAGAGTCCAAGGGCCGCAAGGTATCATCAAAATCTCCCAGGAGAGAGCGGGAGAAAGTGAAAGAAAAGCAGAAAAATGATTATAACTTGATATCAGATTTGCAAGATGTGTACGCAAGAAATAACAATTCTAAAGTGTTCAAGAGCAATATGGAGGATGAATGTAGTGATGCAAAATTTAGCCATGAACAAGCTTTGACTGGTGAGTGTGATGAAAAAGTGACAGTTTCTGAGGATTGCAGCCACCGTATCAAAGAGGATCTGGGAGAAGTGGGACGACAAGAGCACGTGGAGGACGGAGAACCATGCTCAAGTAGTGAACAAAGTGTTGTCACTGAACAAAATGCAAAAATATTGTGCAGTGTGGACCAGAAGAGAAATGAAGACTCATGCAGAGGTAATTATTTATTAGTTCATTATGTTATAAGTGGTTAGAAATACATTAATATGTACAATGTTTAACTTTCTATTTAACAAATATTTGGAGATGATAATGTTCCTTTATATATTATACTCACTACACAGGAGGAAACCACTGGCATTATTTATGTAAAACCAAATTTATCATACAGGTGACTTTCTTAAGTGCCAATTTGTTATCCTTATAAGTAGAAAAAGCCTAATAGCCTTGCTGTTCCTGATAAAGGTAGACCATGTGTGTGCAAAGAATAGAACTATACAATAGTTTTAAAAATGGCTTGTGTTGACAAATATCAACTCAGTATCATGAGACCTATTAAATGAAATGAAATTAACTTGGTTATATACTCACTATACATATCAATAGTTTGTAATGTGATATGTATACGTTTTTCCAGGTGATGAATGTGAAGGGTCTAGCCTCCATCGTAGTCTGAGTGACCATCAGACCTCGGATGTGAGCACAACAAATTCCCACGATACATTAAATTTTGATTTTAATTCATATAACAAGCTACCTGTTGCAAGCTTCAATATATCTTCTCCATCTGTCATTACACCAACCCGACAAGCTCCACCACCACCCAGAAGTCGTACTCTCAGTCCCACAAGGCCAAATGTTCCACCACCACCACCACCTACCTCAAGACCTGTATCTCTGAGTGTAGCACCTCCTAAAATTTCACCACCTCAGCGACCACTGCCATCTCCTCCTCCTTTACCACTCAATCCTCCCCCAGAGTCACCGTCACCGTCACCTCCAATACCAACATCATCTCTGCCAGTCCTGGAAGAAAGACATCATGTGGCTGTTATAAATCATAGTTCTGAAGATTTACCCTCACCTCAGAGTCCAACCTTCAGCAGCTTCAAGGCAAACACATTTACTGTAAACCCACCCAAAAAGAACAGTCCCTCTCTGGCTCTTCCTGCAACGACCTCAGACATGCCATGCTCAACAGAATGCCTTCGGGAAGTGTTATCACCATTAGGATGTGTTCCTGTATTTGGTGCTGATGAGGAGACTCGCACAGCAACAATACGTGGACGAGGTGCTGCCCATGCCAGACCATCCATTGTGAATGCCTTTACAACCAGGGCCTCTGCCAATACTTCATCATCATCATCTCCTCCTGTAGCTCCAAGGAGACGGAATAGAAACCGTTCTTTAAGTCCAGAGACAAATGAAAGTACGACAGGAAATAGCACACGTATATTAAGTGGACGAGTGCACCGAGCTTCCTTTCTAAATGGTATGGCCAGAGATGAAAACCCCTATGAACAGATCACTGATCATATTTATGAGGAGCTCTTCTCTCATTCTCCATCTCGCACATCCACATTTACTGGCCACAACAATCCAGCTCTCGGCAGTTCACCGCATAAATCACCTTCTCCAGGAAAGTCCATGTTTGAAGGTGCATCTAAATATGAAATCCTGGAATATCTGCAGGATGCCCGGCGTAGGGTAGCCAACACTGTAGATGAGGAAGAGGAGGATGTTACATTACAGGTAAGATTTCATGTTTACCTTCATAATATTTTAGTTTGTTTTTGTATTAAGGTCACCAGTAGGCATTTTCCTACCTCCCCTATGAAAGTATAAGAAATTTCAGTGCTTTGCTAGCTTACGTGGATGCCATTTTACTTTTCAGACTTCCTTATATCAGTCATCACTTATGTCATGGCTCTGTATTTGCATTTTTAGTACCAAATTTTATTTTGCTAATTATTAAATTTTTGTTTGTGTGTGTTAGCTTGATTTATTTTGCTTGTGCATTTTCTGTTGGTGAAAGACTCTAGTTAATGTTAATAATAAGTAGGAGACTCTTATATCATGATAAACAAAACTACTTTATTGACTGCTGAAATATATAAAATGCAGTGCTAAATATATAGTTCAAAGTTTTTGCAACCGAAATGTGAAAATCGTGAAACCATGGTTGCACAAATTAACACCAGTCTCCCACATTAAGAGAACAGTTTACAATAATGATGCTTAAGGCATCCTTGGACATTATCAAGTATTAATGATCCAGGATTAACCACATCACCAGCATTTTCTCCCCTTTAATTTAATGTGTGTTTTTGGTGCTTATATGTTTGTAATATTAATAATAATAATGATCATTTTAATAATAAACATTGTATAAAAGCATGGCGGGAGAGGTAGTTCTTTACTACTCATTTAATGATATTTGCAAGAAATCTGTCACAATAATACACTTATCTTTCAATCCCCATGTACTGCACACCATAAAATTTTCTGTAATAAGTGCAATGATTTTCAAAATAAGTAACAAAATCACTGCTTTAACTGGAGTCACTGTTTAAAGTTTTAGTTGTTTAATATTGGTAGTAGTAGTAGTAGTAGCAGAGTGCTTGACTACTCTCAGGGTATGGAGGATGGTTCACTGGATGCTGAAGTAGATCTCGAGGATGAAGAGGAGGATCAGTTAGGGGTTGACCCATCTGAGGATCACTTCACTGTTCTCACCTCAAGAAACAGAGGAAATAGATCATCCAACATGAGCTCAAATTCTGATTCATCGGAAAACAGTGGACTTCTGAGGTCAGATAAGGTAAAGGTGTTATCATTGTTATTGTTCTTATCTTTACTAATTTTGTGAAGTATTCAGTTTTAAAGGGCAGGACAGAAATATGGTAAGTTTGCATGTTCAAAGAAATTAAGGATCAATGGTTGTTAACTAGATGCAAACTACCTCAAACTCATCATACCCAGCAATAATCAGCTATCTCGATGATAATGAATTCTGTTGTCAGACAACACATAGCCACTCTGTTTAAATCTTTAAACATCCACTCACTTCATTCATTCTCATTACACATTCAAAACCTTTTTCCTCAATACTAATCCTGTTTTGAAACTCTTCCTAGATACCTTGAGGTTACCTTGAGATGGTTTTGGGGCTTAGTATCCCCATGGCCCGGTCCTTGACCAGGCCTCCTGGTTGCTGGACAGGTCAACCAGGCTGTTAGACTCAGTTGCTTGCAGCCTGATGTATGAATCACAGCCTGGTTGATCAGGTATCCTTTGGAGGTGCTTATCCAGTTCTCTCTTGAACGCTGTGAGGGGTCGGCCAGTTATGCCCCTTATGTGTAGTGGAAGCGTGTTGAACAGTCTCGGCCCCTGGTGTTGATAGAGTTCTGCTTTTCACCTCTGCTTTTCAACGAGTGTATTCTGCACATCCTGTCATGCCTTCTGGTCTCATGTGGTGTTATTTCTGTGTGCAGGTTTGGGACCAGCCCCTCTACTATTTTCCACATGTAAATTATTATATATCTCTCCCGCCTGCGCTCAAGAGAATACAGATTTAGGCATTTTATTCGGTCCCAATAGTTTAGATGTTTCACTGAGTGGATTTTAGCAGTAAAGGATCTCTGTATGCTCTCCAGGTCAGCAATTTCCCCAGCTTTGAGATGGGCTGTCATTGTGCAACAGTATTCTACTCTAGAGAGTACTTGCATCTTGAAAAGTATCATCATCGGTATAGCATCTCTAGTGTGAAAGGTTCTTGTTATCCAACCTGTCATTTTTCTTGCAGTTGTAACGGCTACTTTATTGTGTTCTTTAAAGGTATGGTCTTCCGACATGAGTACATGTTCACCCAAATTCCTTACATGCCCTTTTGTTCTATGTTATGATTTGTATGCATTTTGTATATAATGGATATAATAGAATTTATAAACATTACACCATAAATATTTCTGATTTTCCAAGAGCCAGACTAAGCCTATGCAAACACACCATACAAATAAAGAACCCCAATATATGGAACTCCTTAATGAAGTAAAACATTGTTCAACCTATTCTTTGTTCAAAATTAAAGCAATGAAGTCTCTAATTTTCTTGCCATAGTATCACCTAGTACTTTACCATCTAGAAATGTAACTCCAACATAAAACTGTATCTAATTATCAACATCTTACCTTATTATGCTAATTTAGTTATTATGTTAACTCAAGGCATATTGAAGGAATGAGAGGAACTGCAAAACAACATCTGGAGGGAGCTGATGGGCAAACATGGCCTGGAAGCATCATAGCAAAATTTTAAGAGATAAGATGTTTATTCAGGTAAAGATACATTGAAAATGAGTTACGAACATAATGTCAGATTAATAGATAGAGCTAGTACATATAATGCCTAAAGTCACAAATACGCACAGCGTTTTGGGCAAGGTGTGGGGGAAAACTTGAACTAAAATTTAATACTAATTGAGATCAAAAGCATAAATTGAATTGAAAAAAGGAAAAAAATAAATAAAAAGAGAATGATGATAATTTCATCATGAAGGTTCATCAAGAGGGTTATCATGAGGCCTAATATAGTACATATGTGCTCACCTAATTGTGCTTGCAGGGGTCGAGCTCTGGCTCTTTGGTCCTGCCTCTCAACTGCCATCCAACTGATGTACACGTTCCTGAGCCTACTGAGCTCTATATCATATCTACACTGTATGGAGTCTGCGTCCACCACCTCATTTCCTAATGCATTCCATTTGTCAACTACAGTATATATATATATATATATATATATATATATATATATATATATATATATATATATATATATATATATATATATATATATATATATATATATATATATATACATATATATATATATACATATATATATATACATATATATATATATATATATATATATATATATATATATATATATATATATATACATATATTGGTGTATACTGGCAGCAGGTTTTCTTTCAAACATGTTTCATTGAATATGACCGCATATTCTGTATTTATTATTTTCTGGTTTAGGGCTTCTATCCCTCTAACTATTTTCTTAGCATCAGGGCTTAATTGAAATAGGAGTTCTCCAAAACTCATTTTCGTACTTTTAAGGTGAAGAAAAGAAGTGATTTACTATAGAGTGTAATTACACTTATTTGTATAATTTGCACGACGTTTCGAACCTCCATGGTTCATTCTCAAGTGAACAGATCTTACAATATTAGTTGATTTTATACCCGCATTAGGTCAGGTGATAATACAATGAAGGTGAAAAACATGGGGGGATACATAAGTGAGGTGAAACATAGAGGCTGCAGAAGGCGTATTGGCCCATACGAGGCATCTCCTATCCAAACACAAAGATTAATCCAGTGTAATTGGCCTGTTATGTTGGACATTGTCTTCTGTGTTGGCATCGATATGTTCTTGTCTTGTCCTTACTCTCATGGTTGGTAGAGTAAATAGTTCCGTGATTTGGGTGTTCATGGTAGGTCGCTCTATTCTTATGTGAATTGCCTCAAGAATTTGTAATCTTCAAGAAGATTACAAATTCTTGAGGCAATTCACATAAGAATAGAGCGACCTACCATGAACACCCAAATCACGGAACTATTTACTCTACCAACCATGAGAGTAAGGACAAGACAAGAACATATCGATGCCAACACAGAAGACAATGTCCAACATAACAGGCCAATTACACTGGATTAATCTTTGTGTTTGGATAGGAGATGCCTCGTATGGGCCAATACGCCTTCTGCAGCCTCTATGTTTCACCTCACTTATGTATCCCCCATGTTTTTCACCTTCATTGTATTATCACCTGACCTAATGCGGGTATAAAATCAACTAATATTGTAAGATCTGTTCACTTGAGAATGAACCATGGAGGTTCGAAACGTCGTGCAAATTATACAAATAAGTGTAATTACACTCTATAGTAAATCACTTCTTTTCTTCACCTTAAAAGTACGAAAATGAGTTTTGGAGAACTCCTATTTCAATTAAGCCCTGATGCTAAGAAAATAGTTAGAGGGATAGAAGCCCTAAACCAGAAAATAATAAATACAGAATATGCGGTCATATTCAATGAAACATATACATATATATATATATATATATATATATACATATATATATATATATATATATATATATATATATATATATATATATGTCGTACCTAATAGCCAGAACGCACTTCTCAGCCTACTATTCAAGGCCCGATTTGCCTAATAAGCCAAGTTTTCATGAATTAATGTTTTTTCGTCTACCTAACCTACCTAACCTAACCTAACCTAGCTTTTTTTGGCTACCTAACCTAACCTTACCTATAAATATAGGTTAGGTTAGGTTAGGTAGGGTTGGTTAGGTTCGGTCATATATCTACGTTAATTTTAACTCCAATAAAATAAAATTGACCTCATACATAGAGAAAAGGGTTGCTTTATCATTTCATAAGAAAAAAATTATAGTAAATATATTAATTCAGGAAAACTTGGCTTACTAGGCAAATCTGGCCTTGAATAGTAGGCTGAGAAGTGAGTTCTGGCTACTAGGTACGACATATATATATATATATATATATGTCGTACCTAATAGCCAGAACGCACTTCTCAGCCTACTATGCAAGGTCCGATTTGCCTAATAAGCCAAGTTTTCATGAATTAATGTTTTTTCGACTACCTAACCTACCTAACCTAACCTAACCTAGCTTTTTCGGCTACCTAACCTAACCTAACCTATAAAGATAGGTTAGGTTAGGTTAGGTAGGGTTGGTTAGGTTCGGTCATATATCTACGTTAATTTTAATTCCAATAAAAAAAAATTGACCTCATACATAATGAAATGGGCAGCTTTATCATTTCAAAAGAAAAAAATTTGAGAAAATATATTAATTCAGGAAAACTTGGCTTATTAGGCAAATCGGGCCTTGCATATTAGGCCGTGAAGTGCGTTCTGGCTACTAGGTACGACATATATATATATATATATATATATATATATATACATATATATATATATATATATATATATATATATATATATATATATATATACATACATATATATATATATACATACATATATATATATATATACATACATATATATATATATATATATATATATACATACATATATATATATATATATATACATACATATATATATATATATATATATATATATATATATATATATATATATATATATATATATACATACATATATATATATATATATATATACATACATATATATATATATATATATATATATATACATACATATATATATATATATATACATACATATATATATATATATATATATATATATACATACATATATATATATATATATATACATACATACATATATATATATATATATATATATATATATATATATATATATATATATATATATATATATATATATATATATATATATATATATATATATATATATATATATATATATATATATATATATATATGTCGTACCTAGTAGCCAGAACGCACTTCTCAGCCTACTATGCAAGGCCCGATTTGCCTAATAAGCCAAGTTTTCATGAATTAATTGTTTTTCGACAACCTAACCTAACCTAACTTTTCGGCTACCTAACCTAACCTAAAATATAAAGATAGGTTAGGTTACGTTAGGTAGGGTTGGTTAGGTTCGGTCATATATCTACGTTAATTTTAACTCCAATTAAAAAAAATTGACCTCCCACATAATGAAATGGGTAGCTTTATCATTTCATAAGAAAAAAATTAGAGAAAATATATTAATTCATGAAAACTTGGCTTATTAGGCAAATCGGGCCTTGCATAGTAGGCTGAGAAGTACGTTCTGGCTACTAGGTACGCCACATTATATATATATATATATATATATATATATATATATATATATATATATATATATATATATATATATATATATATATATATATATATATACACACATATATGTCATACCTAGTAGCCAGATTGCTCTTCTCAGCCTACTATGCAAGGCCCGATTTGCCTAATAAGCCAAGTTTTCCTAAATTAATATATTTTCTCGAATTTTTTCTTATGAAATGATAAAGCTACCCATGTCATTATGTATGAGGTCAATTTTTTTTTATTGGAGTTAAAATTGACGTAGATATATGACCGAACCTAACCAACCCTACCTAACCTAACGTAACCTACCTTCATAGGTTAGGTTAGGTTGCCGAAAAAGTTAGGTTAGGTTAGGTTAGGTAGGTTAGGTAGTCGAAAAACAATTCATGAAAACTTGGCTTATTAGGCAAATCCGGCCTTGCATAGTAGGCTGAGAAGTGCATTCTGGCTACTAGGTACGACATATATATATATATATATATATATATATATATATATACTGTATATATTTAAGTATGTATATTATATACTGTATAATCAGTATTGTAATTGTGGGTTTACAGAATAAATGTTTCGGTAGGTAGGTAATATAGAGCTTATGCTCAGAGGCCAAACACTGCAATTGTTTGTCATTTAATGCTTATTTTTGGTGGCAAACTTTGGTTTGATGATGATTATTATTATATGCACTGTACATACAGTATTTAAAATACTGTATCTTAAAAGTATTTAAAAATACTGTACTTGAGAATTCTGTAATAACTGTTATTTTGTTTATTAAATTTAGTTATTAATAAATGCATAATGCACATATTTGCACAAAACACTCAACAGCTATCCATTTAGAAATGTATGTAGACTTATTTCTAGATCAAATTATGTTTGCCCTGCTCTATACTAATTGCAATTTCAGCCATTATTTTCAATTATTCCATACTGCTTATCCTACTCATCTTATTCTGTGGTATCAATAATAAACAATCAAGAATATACAGGAACGGCTGACAACAGGTGAGATTGAAAGAACTGACTCTGGCGTGGGATCAGAAACCAGCAAACCTACTGTGGTAGTTCGTCGAGGTCAACGAGGAGCAGGCGGAGCCATGGCCACCAGGGATGGTGATGTTCCTCTTTGTGATGACTGTGATGCTCCTGTTGACACTCATATCACCAACAGGTTTGAAGATATTTTTCTATTTCTAATGATAATTGTAATTTAAACTTGAAACATGATTACCTTTTAGTGTATTTTCCAGTAATGAGGCGATCAAAGCTTGACACAGAAATGTGTCCATTGAGATGTACTGTACTCTGGTTTCATGTTTCACACCTTAGTACAGTAGTAGTAGTAGTAGTAGGCATCCATCAGTCTCGGGAGACCATGGAGTTGCGCTCTGGTTGTCGGTCTGGAGTGGCCTCTTAACCCCTCAAGAAGCCTGCAGTGTCAATCTTTGCCAGAAAAGAAGGCTGAAAACGAAGAAAACAACCCCCCAGGACCAAAAGAACAGAATCCCGGTGCCGGAGAAGAGCATGAAACTCCCCCACCTGACCTCCCAGAGGCCAAAGCCTCTGGGGAAAGCTTGTGGAATAGAGCGGAAGTAACATCCATACCAAATGCAAGCATCAGCGGCTCTACCAACGCCACATGATAAGCAACAGTATTCGGCATGAGACACCAGTCCAAGAAAAGCCAAGAGAGAGAGAGAGAGAGAGAGAGAGAGAGAGAGAGAGAGAGAGAAAAGACAAAAAACCCTGTCTGACCCCGAAGAAACCCCTATGGAGAGAAAGTAAATTGTGGAAAGCCTGCCAAGACACTTCATACTGTTGCTGAGAAAAAGACCGCTGGTGGAACACCATCAAAGAAGTCACCTAATTACCATTAGAAATGATGATACACCCTTATCAGAAAAACCAGGCGCATAGAGTGGAGGAATAAGTCGAACCAGCAAGGTACCTCACCAGTCCAACCTGCTGAAAAAAGAGGCAGATCTGTGGAAAAACGCCCGGGTTTAGACACCGAGCAAGCAGCACCGGAAACCAAGGCTAAGCATGCCACCATGGAGCCAGAAGCACTCACCCATGATAGGATTCCAGTTGAGCCTGGTCTTAGAGCAACAGCTGGACTGGGAGGAAGAGGTACAGGAGCCCCCTCCTCCCCTTCAACCAGTACTGACATAAAGTGTCAACTGTGAGGGCCTCGCAGTCAGGGAATGGCACCACATATAACAGGAGACACCGAGACCATGCCAACACAAGAAGGTCCACCTCCAGGCAACCGTATGTTTGGCAAAGTGATAGGAAAGAATCGGCATCAACTGTCCACTCCATGAAAATAGGAAGCAAGTGAGACAGGCCATCTGCCAGGATACTAGCACACCGCAAACAGCATGGAGAGCTAAACCCAAAGAACTCAGCAGAAGAGCTACCCGAAGCAACTAGCCCCAAAGAGCCACAGACTGAAGTGACCCCCCATGAATGAGACAATGAACTACGGGGGGAGTAGTCCGAATGGAGCCGGATCAATGAGCCCCAAGGGAGCCGAATCTGCCGCAGCTCCTACTGCACTGCCGCAAACTTCTGCACTGTGCTGTGAGCCTGACATAAGGACTTCCCCTAATGCCACTGGCTGAACTGGTGAGCACTGGTCACAAAGCCCCAACAAAAAGACAAGGTGTCCGTGAACTCATCGAGCGAAGGGAGGACAAAGGTGCCATGACACCGAACTCCGAAAAACCAGAAGAGGAAGCCGGTGACTTAGTAACTGACACGGGAATGAACTCAGCGATCATGAGAATGTTGAAAGAGACAGCTACAAGAAATTCCGTTTTTGTTGTGATTTTTTGCTTTTTGAACATAAAACTGATTATTATGTATCACGCCATGGGTCCCAAGAAAGACAGTGGTAAGGTTCAACCTAAGATAATAGTTGTGTATAGAGGCTGTAGAGGATGTCCCTTCCTCACTAAGAAAATGTGTGAAGTATGGGAAGAACTGCAAAGTTTTGTTGAAAAAACTCACCCAGATAAAGCTGTAGCAGGCCATTGCATTGACCTTTAAATGACAATGTGATGTCTTACTACAGAAAAGTGTTAAAATGAAGAAAAAACAAGTGTCTTTGGACAGATTCTTAGTAAGATAAGCAAGCAGTGAGCCACAAGCAGGTCCTAGTGGTATGCAGGCAAAACATGCCAGTGTGTGTATCCCAGAAAAGTCATCACTGCCTGATGTTATAATGGAAGGGGACTCCCCTTCCAAACAGTAACATCTCTCCTCCTCCCCCCTCATCACCATCTTCCATACGCCATTAAGAGTCCTCCATAAAGGTAAGATAAACATATGTACTGTATTGTAGTTAGAGAAAAAAATTGTATTCAGTATAAAATGTATTTGTAAGTTAATATTTCAACTTACGATACGTCTCTGTGAACGGATTACCATCGTAAATCGAGGCTCCACTGTAAATTAAGTAATTAGGAAATGCAATACAGTATATTCATGCAAAATACTTCAACTACTGTACCTGTACTATTATATGTGATTTTGTTACAGTGGAGTGGTATATGCACCACTGGTTTGCCGTCGCTGCTCACGCCGACGCCAGGAAAGAAAGGAGATTCTCACAGAGATTATGGAAACAGAGATCAAATATGGCCGAGACTTGCGTGTCATGGTGGATGAGTTTTACAGGTACAGAATAAAGTATTTGCTATAATTTCAAGCTAATAATAATAATTGTTATAATATTAGGCCCTAGCAGTGAAATACACATCTGGTTTATCATCAGTGTTGTTATATATTAAAACCCTTTGTATATTAGTTTCATTTTCTTAATAATCATATTATTTAAAAATAATTAAATTTTTGTATTATCATAGTGTTTTAACAGTGGATGCATTATGCTTTTCTTTCTTTAATATGTATTAAGTCTAAAATAAACAAAGCCCAAGCTATAAATTAATTGTAAGCAGCAACATGATAATTCAGCTTTTAATTTGGACATAATTTGATAGAAAAGAAGGTAAACCCATTACACTACTTATATATGATATAAATTTCATGGAAACGTTAAAAAATTCCAATTTATCTTAATAGACATTGTGCAGTATATATAAGCTATGGACATAACCTGAGGCAAAGGATTCTTAAAATTTTTCTCTACTTTCATATAAATGATGTATACAAAATCAGAATTTTCTAGTTACAATTGTTTGTTTACAGACCTATCTTAGTTGCTGGTCTTCTCAGTCATGATCAGCTCAGAGGAATATTTTTAAATGTTGAGGAGCTGGTGGAGCACAACCGGGGCTTCTCTTTACAACTGAGGGATGCTTTAGAGATAGCGCTAGATCAGGGGGATGAAGATCTTCTGACGGTCAATGTGGCTAAACTCTTCCTTCATGCAGCTCCAATGCTTCATGCCTTTGAAAATTATTGTGTGAGACAGGTTTGTATATAAATGTTGTTGTTTAGTTAAAATAAATATTACCCTACATAGCCATATTACCCATACACTATCTGTTGCAGCTTATTCTCAGGTAGGCTCATCCAACCGGCAGTCAACCCCCAATGACATTCGTCAATTTAAAATACTCTGTATTCAAAAATTTTATTTGATCAAATATGAGCTTATATTATTACATACAGTACTAGGTTGTGTTGATTAGCTTTACCTAGCTTAGGTTACGTTAGGTGGTTAGGTTCTATTAGCAATTGGTGGTATTTGCAGAATGTGCCCAGCACGTGATATCACCTCTCATAATTGCAGCAAGAAAGGACACTATGTTAAAGTCTATCTGTCTAATACGTCTGTGAGTACTACTGCTACATTGTACAATCCTACTGTTATTGCTATTACAACTGCATTTCTGCAGAGCCTGTTATATGCAGCCACTGAAGTTACAGTAAATGGACACAAACTGAAGGCACTAACTTATTCATGTAGCTCTGACAGTTTCATAAGTGAAAGCACCACATGAAAACTAAATTTGATGGTGCACTCATTAGTTAAGGAGATCTCTATGGCATCAAAGTCATTAGGTACTAGCTCTTTAGGGTTTTCTAATGTAATTTTGGAGCTCAGTGGCCAAACTTACCCATCTACCAGCCTTAGGGTATTAAAATACTTGTGTTTTGGCTTAATTTTGGGCCAAGACTTTCAGAAACAACACACAAGTCTGATATATCAATATGGAGGACATAAAGCAGAGCTCATAATTGCGGGCACTAATTCAATGTGTGCACTCTCAGAAGCTTCGATGAATAAGCCTTCACTTTTTCCATACCTTCTTCAAGGATGTAAGCCTATTACAGCTAAGTCCCAGCATTTCATTAAGGATGACCACTTGTTTATTCAGCAACAAACATATCTTCTACTGTCTTAAGGCATAATTGAAGCATGCTCATCTCCGTGGTATGCTCTGATTATGGTGGTGAAAGCTGCTCTTAACAGACTTCAAAAGGAGATTCTGTATTGATTATTTTCAGACCATTAACCAGTATACAGAATTTTATGCTAATCCACTGCCAAGAATAGTTAACATGGTCAATAATTTTGCAAATTACAATGTATTTTCTACATTCGACTTAAGGAGTACTTATCATCAAGTTCCAATCAAGGAAGCTGACAAGAAGTACACAGCTTTTGAAGCTGATGGGAGGCTGTATCACTTCTGTAGAATACCATTTGGTGTCACAAATGGAGTTGCCACTTTTCAAGCATTTGACGGGCAAAGTTATAAAAGAAAATATCAAGAATACTTTTTCATACTTGGATAACATCATTAAAGCTTGCACAACAGGTGGGTGCAGCAATCAGTAAAGCTAACCAAACTCTTGGGATAATCAAGTGTACTGTTGCTTATAATGAAAAGAAGGTAATGGTTCAACCGTATAAATCAATAAGATTACTGTATCTAAGCATGGAGACCTCATTTTCAGGCCATAGCTGCTCTGGAGAAGGTGCAACACCGGGCAACTAGTCATTTTTGGGCCAAGTCATCTCTCATATCAGAAACACTTGAAGGCCACAGAGCTAACAACACTGCAAACCAGGCATGACTGGGCAGATCTCATTTAAACTTCTAAATTACTATTAAAAATTGTTCATCAGTCAATGAAATGGCTGGTGGGCAGCCTGGCTCACCCAGCCAGCTCCCAATACCCATTTACAATGTTTTAGCTCACTACATTCTGATAAATCAACTGTAGTCCAACTGTGTTTCTCAGATCTGAACTAGTGGCTACTACTGAATTTGCATAACTAATAGGCATCCTTCTCTTTACAAATTTATATTTGATTTTTATGATACTGTCTCATTTTCAGGGTTCAGCCTCAATATTACTACAGACACTTGAGAAGGAGAGGGAGCTGCTGAGAATATTCCTCAAGGTATCCCAAATGGAGAACACATTACTGCGGCGAATGAATCTTCATTCTTTTTTAATGGTAAATATTGTTTCGGGTAAACCTAACAATGCAATGCAGTATTTATGAAGATAGTGTATGAAGTATATGTAACATGAGGAAAACTTTAAAGGTAGTTTTTAATCTGAATATAAAAAAATATTGTTCTCTTACTTGACATCTTCAGGCTTTATATTTCTTAGGTTCCTGTTCAGCGTGTAACTAAATACCCATTATTGCTGGCAAGACTGTATAAAACCACTCCTCCAACTCATCCTTCCCGAGAGGATTGCCGGCGTGCCAAAGAGAAGATTGAATTACATTTACAGCATATGAATAATGTAAGTAGAATTGATGATGATGATACAATATTTAGAAAATTAACATTGTTTAAGATGTAATGATATTTGCATATTTCCAATCTATGGGCTTGGTCCATAGACCTTGGTCCAAGGTCCAATCTTCCTTGGTCCATAGATTTTCTGAATAGGAGTTTCAGCAGGTAGCCACAGTTCATCAACCAGTTCTTTTATGATTTTGCATTGAACTGCATCCTCACCTGGGGCTTTAGATTCCTTTAATGTGTCACTGCTCCTTCTGAATCATTCTCTTCCCCTGGTTCAAGCATTTGTGCGAGTACTGGGATATTGTCTAATCTTTCTATTGTGAACACTAATGTTCAAGTATTCAGAATGTTGGCTGCCTTTTTATTATAAAATATAACTTGTTGATCTCATCTTTCCAGGATCCTATAGTCTGCTGTCCTACTTTACTTCTTATATAGGAAGTACAGTACACCAAGTAGTAGAATGGACTCTATACTGTATTTAATTGAAGTTGCCTGTGAAAATGTTTTCAATAATTTAATAAAATATTAAATTTCAATTATTTTTCTTTTTGCAGGAAACAAAGGAGATAAGCCCAACAAAATTATGGCGTAGAATTTCTATGAGCGTGGGTAGTGGTACTCCTCTTAAACGTTCACCACAACCACATGATTTTTCTACCAATCTCAAGCTCAGGAAGGTACACAAAGATTTTTTTTTTATGTTGACACACTTCATATAAGAGAATACATCTTGACTAAATTGTGCCAAGCAAGCTATCTTATTAAATGAATATGAAGTACTATAAATGTAAGGAGAAGCTGTATCACCTGGGCAAAGGAGAGGGAAGGATTACAGACTGACTGAAAGTGTTCATAAGGACAAAAAGATTTTTGCATATTCTTTGACCATGTATATTATCAGGATCTCTTGCAAGCATGCATGTCTTGTGTGATGGACATGAGAGTTCCATTTCAGATATGTTCAGTACTGACCCTCTCAGTAACTGTAATTTGCTATTCTGGTATATATCAAGAACATTTTCTGTGGGGAGCCCCTCCAGCTCCCTGGAACTACCTGGCTAATATGTGATATATTAGACCAGGGCATTAGTGAATGGAGTTCAACCTACTGGAGCACATGACAGAACCTGGCCCCCCTCAGAGAGGCACAAGGAGCAATGGCCACTGGAAAACCCTCCTGTGGTTGGGGTTTTTCCTTATCTGCCATCGACCGGGGTTAGGCACTCAGAAAGGTAGGCAAAACAAAACAGGCCCCACATGGTAAGAAAATTGTAATTAAAAACCGAATAGAGAGGCAGAACTCCCTCAATTCCCAAGGAAATAAACAAGCAAGCAAACATCACACCTCGCCGCTGCGCCGCTTGTCCACGCAGCACCCCTCCCGGGAGGCGGTCAACTCTGGTCTCAGTTTCCTGGCAATGTTTAGCCTTAGTAGTGTCCTCTGCTGTTCGTGGTGTGGTGGACAGGTGAACTTACGTGTACCGGGGCTGTATGCACTTAGGGCAACCTTCCCGAAGTGCCCTGTGAGTACTACCCTTGGATGTCAGGGGTTCTCTTCCCTGGTGCTTTTGTGATGCCATTTCTGTAGGGGTTTTTGCTGCTCGACATTTACCCCGATCTTGGGGCCAGCTGGGGTTTCATGGCCCTTGTTTGGCCTTGGGTAGAGAGAGTGGTATTATTGCTGGTTGGTGCATCAAGGTGTTGTGCAGCCAGATTACCTATGCAGTTCCTGTTTCCTTTAGGGATGCAGGACTTTTGCAGGGTTTTTCTTTTACTTTTTGTTTTGTTTGCCTGGTGGTGGTCTGCCTGGTGTGGCTATAGGACCATTTATAATATTTGGGTGGCCCTCCGCTAGGCCTCCGTGATTGTACACGTCGCAGGAGTTTCAGTATTTTGATCTCCCCCTTGTTAGCAACACCTTGTCCGGGCATCCCGTAGCAGTCAGCCTACGGGCCCCTGGAAAACCCTGTCAGGGCTCGATGGACCTATGGATGTATCTTCCAAGTTCTAGCTCGCCTTGTGCAAGTTTGAAGGTTACTGTGTGCCCTTGCCTCAGGGTGACAGTCACCGCTTTTGCCTCCGTCATGCTACCTGTTGGGTCAATGACACTTTTGACCCAGAGTGTTGCGAGTCGTGTTCTCTGCATGTTCTCCAGTTTACCCATTCTGATAACATTGATATTCGGGTACTAGCGGCATCCGTACTGCATGCTATCTTGAGGTTATCTTGAGATGATTTCGGGGCTTTAGTGTCCTTGTGGCCCGGTCCTCGACCAGGCCTCCACCCCCAGGAAGCAGCCCGTGACAGCTGACTAACACCCAGGTACCCATTTTACTGCTAGGTAACAGGGGCATAGGGTGAAAGAAACTCTGCCCATTGTTTCTCGCCAGCGCCTGGGATCAAACCCAGGACCACAGGATCACAAGTCCAGCGTGCTGTCCGCTCGGCCGACCGGCTCCCCTAGGAGGATTTAGGTTTAGGTAGCTGCAACGTGCTAAGTTGGATGCCCACCCGGATGCCATTAGGCTGCCCTGTTTTGGTTATAGGGACCCGGACTTGGGAGCGTTGGTCACTTTGACTTTAGTTCCATCTGTGCTCCCTGGTCCTTTCCCTGTTGTTCGTCCTGCTCCCCTTCTTGCGTCTGGTTCCCAAACGTCTGAGGGTTTTGGAGTCGGAGCAGGGTTTAGTTGGTAGTGAGACTCAGGCAGCTTTGGGGGCTGCTCCATTTGGGTCGGAGATGGGCATTTGAGCCGGTTCCTCCTGCCAAGGCTTCTGGGTCCCACCAGCAGGTCCCCTTCTTTTCTGCCTTTCTCCTGGACTCTGCCTTTGCTTCAAGGGTAGAAGACTGCTTTGCCCAGGGTCCCAATTTAGGGATTCCAGGGCTTGGGCCCTCTTTGACCCCGCTTGGGTGTTGGTGCCCTCTTCGTGGGGCTTGTTGTTTCAGGGGAAGGGGTTTTCTTAACCCCCTTCTCTGTACGAGTATGATTTGGGGTCGGCTCCTCCCCAGGTTCAGTTTCGGGTTCTCTTGGGTTCCTCGGCTTCTTCCTTCCAGAGATTTTCTGCCTCTCGTATCTCACCTAAGGAGGTTCGGGAGGCGTTTGCTGCTTACCTCCTGCAAGACCCGGATTGTTATGATTGTTATGTGCCTCTGTTATGGATCCGTCCTCCTTTCAGTTCGGTTCTTCTTCCCTTCCCTGTATTGGATGGATTTGAAGGTTCCGGAGTCTTCCTGGCTGGCAGACTGTCCATTCTTTTTGTTGGGGGGCATAGCATGGGTTTTGTCGGACCTGCACGCTTAAATGGCAAGAAACTTCTATTGTTTGAGAGGCTTACTTGGGGGGCAAATCTGTGCACCTTGATGCATGCTTGTTCATCCCTGTGCTTCCTCGGGATGTTGGCCTTGTGCAGCTGCACGTGCAGGTACCCTCCCTTTCGGCGTCTTTGGTTGCTGAGGACTTGCACGCCCGTGGGCATTTGGCTTCGATCTTGCTCTTCTTTTCCCTTCTCATGCAGTCCTCGGACTAGCTTGAGGAGGATATGGGGGGCGCTGAGTGCCGGGCCTTGGTCTGGGGTGCTGGCTTTCGCAGCTAGGGTGTCTGCCGCACTGTTGAAGCAATTTGCGCTGATTCTCAAGAAGGCGGTGTCTCTGTTCTTTGCCTCTCGCTTCGCATGCTGACAGGCTGTGCTCGCTCTCTCTTTGGAATTCACTTGGGCACTTGCTCTTAGGTTTTCTTCACCGTATTGTTTATTGCTGTTTGCAGAGACTGCTGTCACGCAGTTTCTGCAGGCAGCTTCGTCAAGTTATCGTCTTATGTCGGACATGTTGGTTCTCCAGGGTAGCCATTCTCGGCCTTCTCGGAAGGGTCGTGCCAGGGCTCGGGGTTCCATAAGTCGGGGGTAGGCCATTGGTGCCAGCTTCTGAGTCGGCGTTTCCTTTGGAGCCAGGGTCTTCTGGTCGATGCGATGATCGCTTTGCTCGTCAGCCGGCTTCTTGTAAGGGGCGTCGGCTCTTTTGTCGTTGACAGGGTGATGGGGAAAAGCTCGTGCTGTTTGCTCATGCCTGGTCCCACGATTTGTGGGTGTTTTGGGTCGTATCCTCCGGCCTGTGGTGGCGTTGGGTGACTCCTCCTCCTCTGGGGGGTTCGGGCTGGAGGGGCAGGCTTCTTCCCCTGCACTCTGTCGGGTCATCTCGGAGTGGGTGCACTTGGGCGTGCTCAAAATGATCCCGTCCCTCAGGTGGGTTTCCCGCTTGTTTCCAGTACTGAAACAGGACTGTGAGGATCTGCCACTCATTTTGGACTTGTCTCGTCTGAACTCCTGAATTCTTTGCTCCTCCTTTCGGATGACTACTCTGCCTCAGGTCCGGCTTCTGTTACAGCCTGGGGCCTGGAGGCCTCCTCCAGGACCCCTGGACCTAAGGGATGTGTACTGGCCCATTCCCATTCATCTGGAGTTCAGGGACTGGTTAGGTTTCATGGTGGGGCATCAGGGTTACTGCTTTTGTTGGCTTCCTTTTGGCTTAAATCTGGCACCTTGCGTATTCACGCATCTTACCTGAGTCATGGTGACTTGTCTGCTTCAGGCCTACCTCGACGACTAACTGGCGTGGGCTCGCAGCCGGTCTGCTTGTCTGCTCGCCACGGCTGTGGTTCTTTCCCAGCTTGCCGGGTTCGGGTTCCTGGTGAACTGGCTGAAGTCCCATCTGGTTCTGTCCCAGGTTCGGACCTGGCTGGGTCTTGTTTGGGATTCTTGGACCACTTTCATGTCTCTCCCTTTGGAGGCATTGCTGCGGTCCCACCTTCAGCTGTTTCTGGGGAGGTCCCGGGTCTCTTGGCGGTTGCTCGAGCAGTTGTGCGGGAGTCTGAACTTCGTTGTGCTGGTCTACTTGCTGGGTCGGGTTTGGCTTCAGCATCTGTTCAGGTTCTTTCGGGGACTACTTCTGCCTCTCTTGCGATCGCTGGGTTTTGCCTCTGTGGGCCTTGCATTGGTTGCTGCATCGCCGGCTTCCTCTTTGAGCTTTTCGGGGTTCAGTGCCTTGGTGCCTACCTGAGCTCTCACTCGATGTGTTCACGGACGCGTCGTCTCTCGGCTGGGGCTTTGTGACCAGTACTCACCAGGCCGGACAGGGGTGGTGGGGGTCTGTCCTTCCGTCAGGCTCACAGCACGGTGTGGGAGTTTGCGGTGGTTTGGCTGTAGCTTCGAAGGGTTCGGGTCGCTTGGGGTTTGACCATCCGGCTCCATTCAGACTGTTCTCCGGTAGTTCATTGCCTGAACCGCGAGGTTCCCTTCGGCCCTTGCCTCTTTGAGGCTGGTTGCTTCGAGTGGCTCATCTGGTTTCTCTGGGTTTGGCTATCCGTGCGGTTCATATTCGGGGAAGTGTCTAACGTCCTGGCGGATGACCTGTCTCAGTTTATTCCACTGTCCACGGAATGGATGGTCGATGCCGACTCCTTTAGTTCGCTCTGCAAGACATACGGGCTCCCGGAGGTGGACCTCTTTGCATCAGCATGGTCTTGGCATCTCCTGATGCATGTGGCGCCCTTCCCCAACTGCGGAGCCTGCGCAGTGGACGCCTTTCGGCAGGACTGGTGGAGGTTGGGTTACCTGTACCTCTCCCCCCCCCCAGTCCAGCTGTTGCTTCAGTTTCTGGCTCAGTTGTAGTCTTACCATGGAAGAGTAGTTCTCGTGGCCCTTTGGTGGCCAGCCCAGCCTTGGTTTCAGGCACTACTTGCTCAGTGTTTAAACCCAGGGCATTTTCCGTGGCTTCGCCTCTTCCAGCAGACACTGCTGGTTCTGTCTTCTACACCGCTTTTCGCGTCTTTGTCTTTTTGACGTGAGTTTATCACCATTTGTATGGTGATTAAGTGGTTTCGTTGATGATGTCCCACCTGAGGGCTTCGTCTCGGCAACAGTATGAAGTTTCCTGACGTTTTTTCCGTCTTTTTCTCTCTTCATAAGGTTGTCTTCTATTTCTAATCAGGTTGTCTTGTCCTTGCTTTCTTGGCTTTTTCTGAACCATCATTTGATGCTGAATACTGTTATTTCGTAACCTGCAATGCTGGCGAAGCCGCTTTCTCGTGCTCTGTTTCACCTCCAGCCTTCTCATGCACCGCCTGAGCTATCCTGGTCCTTGGACAGGGTGATCTATCTTTCTTCTCAGTTCGTGGTGGCCCTTCTGATTCAAGATTGTTTTTCCAAGGCTGTCTTCCTGTTGGCATTGGCCTCTGGGGGTCGGGTTGGTGAGTTTCATGCTCTCCTCCGGTGCAGGGGTTTCTGCTCTTTCGGTCCTGGTAATCGGTTTGCAGCCTTCTTCTTTTCTAGCGAAGAACAAGATGGCTGCTTTCAGGAGGGGTCCTTGGGTCATTGATGCATTGGTTGGTCAGGTCGGGGGTGCATTATGTGTTGTGTCCATTTTGGGTCTGTTTTGTTATGCCTACCTTTCTGGTGCCTAACCCTGGTCGATGGCAAATGAGGAAAAACCCAACCACCGGGTTTTCCAAAGGCCATTGCTCCCTGTGCCTTTCTGAGGGGGTCAAGTTCAGGCTCGTGGTTTCCAGTAGGCTGAACTCCATTCATTAATGCCCTGTTCTAATGTATCATATATTAGCCCGATAGCTCCAGGGAGCCTCCGGGGCTCACCCAAAAAATGGAGTTACATTACATTTAACGCTGGTTTTTTGCATCTAGTAAACTTATTTTATACTAGATTCAAACATATGCATTTTTTATAGTAAATATAAATATACTTTTACTTCATTGGTCAACAGTTGGGACTGGAAGTCTTAGAGTGGAGTGAAGAGGAGGCAAGAGTAGTTAGAGAAGGACGTCTGTTCTGTCTGGCACCAGATTCAAACAACTGGACGCGAAGAGGTCGCTCCCTGAAGATGGCATCAGTTCATGTCATACTGATTACTCTTGGTTCAGTAAGTAAATTAAAGTAATACAGAATATCACACAAGTAGTGTTGTAAATCCCATTTTTTTCACCATTGTCTATACCAGCTTTGAAATATGATTACTTAACATTAAGAGTTCTTTCAGCATATTGTGACCCTCAGGTAAATTCAGGAAATTTCCTTTCCTGGACCCTGCCTCTGTAGCTACCCTCAGCTTAAGCACTGGCCATTACTGGTTAGTCTTGCTTACACCAGGCACCTGAGAAACATTGCTTACCAGGGACGAAATTCTATACTACAGACCCCAACTTAATATTATTACTAATAATAACATTGAGAAAATCCGTAGGAGCCGTGATGAGTATTTGAACCTATGTGCTGAGTATTCTCAGGCACACGCCCCAGACAACTAGAGGCAGAACATTCCTAGATGACAGAGCCAGAGTGCACATGAGGATTGTGTAAAACCCTGGTTTTGCTTTAGTGGAAGTTTCAGAAACCCCTTGAGGGTTTAGTAGAACCCCAGGTTGCAATCCTTTTGACGTCATGGCCTATTTGTTTGGGGTAAGTGCTTGGAAATTCCCAGCACATAGATTCGACTTCTCATCACAGCTCCTATGGGTTTTCTCATTGATACTTCACGTTAGTGTGATTTTTCTCTGTATGTACTGCAACTTACAGATCAACAAGGCTGCAACTTAGATCAACAAACTTTGGGGTATAGCTTCCGAGCCAATTGTTGTAACATCACCATGGTAACTTTATATATTTTTTGTACATTTAAAACTCTTAGAACCTTTGGATATATATACTGTAAAAGGCCATACGTGAAAGCCACAGCCACAACTATGGGAGTGGAAGTTTGACATTCCATACTGGAACACTGGCAGAATATTATGTCAAGGGTAATTATATGCAAGAACTATCCTTTTTTAAACAGCTGCCACCACCACACATTTAGGTCTTTGGTAATTACTGATAAGTATTGTTCACGTCTCATGAGGGAGGAGGTCATAGACACGAAAACAAAACAATCTCAGTCCTGCATGAGAATGACTTATCATGTTATTGAGAAATCCTGATCCACTGGTTAACTTAAAGACTATAGTTGATGGTGCATTGTTATTTAGATAGAAAAGGTGGTGTGGATGTTGAGAGTGTTGGGTTGACTGAAGTGGAGATTAATGGTGATGAGGTAACCTCAGCAGACTGCCTTTCACCATGTACATTACTCTAATATACCTAATGCCATGGCAGAGTTTAAAAGCTTTTGAGCCATCCATTAATGTAAGAACTCCGCTTACAAGTGGCAATGTGTGCAGTCATTGGGCAAACTAGTTCCATCTTTATTGCACAATTTTATTCAAACTGTTTACCATACCAGTTATCCAAACTAACCCAAATCATATAACAGGCATTTTCAGAAAAAAACAGCGTTGAATGTAATGAAACGCTATTTTCTGGGTGAAACCCGAGGCTCCCCAGAGGCTCCAGGCTGATATTGCTTATATAAGACTTTGGCATCAGTAAGTGTGAATGGAGTTCATAGGCCTACCGGGGGAACATGAGCCAGAACCTAGTCCCCTCAGAGAGGCACAAGGAGCAATGACCTATAGAAACCCCTATGTGGTTGGAAGGTTTCCAACCACATGGGGGGTTTCAGGGGGTCATAGACATTCTACGTCTGCCATCGACTGGGTCAGGCACCCAGAAAGGTAAGCATCCCAAAATAAACCCCTATTCTAGTTAAGAAATTGTGACTAAAAGCCAAACTAGTGGACAGAACTCCCCAAACAAAAACAAGCAAATGAGCATGATGTCACCACGTTGCCGCGCCACCATCTGCACAACTCACCTCTCCCCAGGAGGGGAAAGGGGTAGCCCCAGACCCCTCGCACCGGCTATTCAAAACCTCAGTTTGGACATCAAAAACATGCGAAAAACTGCTGACCAGAGGGTGGAAGGGTTGCCGGGAAGTCTCCGGGTCTCATTCAGAAAATGGCGTATCATTACATTCAATGCTGATTTTCTGGGGGAGCCCCAGCGGCTCCCTGGAGCTACTTACCAAAAGACGAAAACAAGAGGGACTTACCCGGGAAGCGGTTGTTGCTCACCCCTCAACACGAAGTCGAGACAACTGGCTGCAACTGCCGACCTAAAGCAACACAGGCCCAACTAGGCCCAGGAACAATAACCAGGTAACATGCAGCCAGAACCCTGTTCGACCGCCAAAAACCCCACACCTGAATGTCAGCCCAAGACATGTTACCGAAGATGGCAGCAAGCGCAACAAACTTACGAATGTCGTGGGCATGGGGATAGAACGCAGGCTGGCTGGACTAAATAACCCTGCAGACGACCTGAGACACCCAAACCTTGGAACAGGGAAGAAGGGAAACTGGATCAACCCAAAGCGCGTCCCCAGTCACGGAGGCTGTGGCGCCCAAATAATGGCGAAGAGCTGCAACCGGGCACAACACATGATTCACCCCTGGCCTGACCAACCAAGCATCAACTACCCCAAGGATCCCTCTAGAAAGCAGCCATCTCATTCTTCACCAGAAAAGGAGGAGACAGCTGCAACCGAACAAACCTATCACCAGGACCAAAAGAGCAGAAACCCCAGTGCCAGAGGAGAGCATGAAGCTCCTCGATCAAACTCCCAGAGGCCAATGCCAACAAGAGAAGAGCTTTGGAAAAACAATCCAAAACCGAAGGAGTCACATCAAACCGAGGAGAAGAGAGAGAAAAGAGAGCACTCGATCCAAGGACCAGGACGGCTCGAGCGACGTATGACCAGGCCGAAGGCATGAGACAGCTTGTGAAACGACGCAGAAGTAACATCAATACTGAAAGCAAGCTGCAGCGGCTCCACCAGCCCCGCACGATATGAGTTTTTTTTTGTCTACCACAGACGTGCCACACATTTACAATGCTAAGCAGCATATATACATTTTCTTCTGTCCTCCATGGACAGGGTTAGAGATGTGTTAAACATATAGTTCAAGGACGATATGAGGTGACAGTATTTGGCATAAGATGACGCTTCTGAAACAACCACTAAAGAAAGGACAAGACAACCCAATCAGAAACTGCAGTGCACCTACGAAGGGACAAAATGAAACGGAAGGACCGCCAGGAAACAACATACTGCCGCAGGGATGAAGCACGGAGGTGGGACACCAATAACGAAGCCACCTACTCACAATACAAGTGGTGATAGACTCGAGTCAGAAAAACCAGACGCGAAGACTCAAGGAGAAATTCGAACCAGCCACGTACTGGACCGAACCGATCTGCTGAAAGAAGCGGAGTTCGAAGGAAAGAGTCCGAACCCGGGAAAAATCCCAGGTTCGGACACCGAGCAAGCAGTGCCTGAAACCAAGGCTGGGCCGGCCACCATGGGGCCAAGAGGACTACTCTCCCCTAGTAAGTTTCCAAGCAAGCTAGGACCTGGAGCAACAGCTGAACTGGGGGAAAAAGGTACAGGAACCCCCACCTCGATCAGTCCTGCCAGCTAGGACGACTACGGAACCTCATAACGACTCCAGCAGGTAAATGAAGACCAAAATCTGAACAAAGACGGATCCATAATAGAGGCACAATCTGGGTCGCGCAGGAGGTAAGCCACAAAGACATCTCGCACCACATGAGGCAGGATGTGGGAAGCCGAAAACCTCCGGAAAGATGTGACTGAAGCACCCGAAGGAATACAGAACTGAACCCGGAGGAGGGGCAGACATCAAATCCAACTTGTACGAAGAGGAGAGAGAAAGAAATCCCCACTCCTTGCAACAGTAAGCCTCGCTCAGAGGGTAGAAAAACCCAGGCGGGGTCCAACGGGGCCCAAGGCCCCCAAATCAGCCCCTCTCCAGCACCGAGAACCACCACATCAGGACCCGGGGCCGAGTTATTTCCCAAAGCCCCGGCCTCAAAAGAAAAGGCCGGCGCAGCCGTAGAAGCTGGAAGGAAGGGGGCCCACTGGTCAGACACAAATGCTTCGGCAGGGAGAACCAACTCAAATGCCTCCATCACCACCCTGGAAGAGGCACCCCCCGAGATTGCCCGAGACTCAAGACCATCTAAACCCTTCCCCGACCTCGAAACCTTCAGACATTTCGGAGCCAGATGCTGGGAAGGGGGCAGACCAGATCGAACCACAGCAGGGAAAAGATGAGGGGATGCAGACTGAAGCAAGGCTGAAGCGACCAACACCCCCAAGTCCAGGTCCCTATAACTAAAATGGAGCAGCCTTGGGGCTTCTGGGTTAGCAATCAACCGAGCGCGTTGCAACAACCTAAACCTAATGTGCAATGCCTGCACTGCCTGTACCCGAATAATGTTATCAGTGGATTGGGTAAACTGAGTCACAAACAAGCAACAAATCTCGCAGGACTCTGGGTTGAAGGTGTCACCGACCCAGTAGGCAGCGTGACAGAGGCAAAAACAATGAGTCACCCTGAGACAAGGAGACAGAGCAACCTTCAAGCTCGCACAAAGCGAGGGCAGACTCAGAGGTCACATCCATCGGACCCATGCACCCCCATGGGGATTCCTAGGGGTCCTGAGACAGAACTCACGCTCAGGAAAGCCCAGGCAGGAGTTCTGCTAACTGGAGCCCAAGTCTACTGACACTTTCTAAAAACTAAACCCCAGGGACGTGTTCACTCACAGGGACCTAGCAGGGTGTATCACCAGAAACACAGACAAGAGTATGATATTTAGGGGGCAACCAAGCAAAGGGAAACCAGGCAGGGAAAACAAAAACAAAAATAAAACCCTACTAGAGGACTACGTACCTAGACGGAATAGTCAGCTGCTATGATAAGTGACAACTAGCTGTGCAGTACCCTGCACCCCTACCAGTGCAAACTACCTCTTACCCTAAGGCCAACAAGGGTACCAGAAACCCCCAGCACACAAAGGGCGGCTGAAAGCTGAGCAGCAAACGACCAAGCAGAGGTATAACTTGTGGAAGGTGGCCCCCAAGCCCCAAGGGCAGTGCAGTACTTACCAGGCACCTAGGGAAGGTAGCTTGAAGCACATGCAGTCCGAGTACTGAAGAAATACTCCTGGCTCGCTCACCCACAATGGGATAATCCCCACACCACTAGGCACAGAGCTGGAGACAATTCAGGAGCCAGAGCACACAACTTCAGCCTAGCACATCAGCCTCAGAACTGGGGTTTTGGTTAGCCGGCGAGAAAGGTCTGGCGTTCCCCTTCCCCCTCCCGGGGAGGGGAGAGCTGCGCAGACAGTGGCACGACGACGTGGTGACATCATGCTCGTTTTTGTTTGGGGAGTTCTGTCTACTAGTTCAGCTTTTAGTTTCAATTTCTTAACCAGAATGGGGGATTTGTTTTGGGATGCTTACCTTTCTGGGTGCCTGACCCGGTCGATGGCAGACATCGAATGCTTCCAACCACACGGGGGTTTCTATAAGCCATTGCTCCTCGTGCCTCTCTGAGGGGGCTACGTTCTGGCTCGTGGTCCCCGGTAGGCCTATGAACTCCATTCACAGTGATGCCAAAATCTAATATAAACAATATCAGCCTGGATAGCTCTGGGAGAGCCAAAGGGACTCCCCCCAGAAAAAGCATTCATTTAGCACATGGCTGACTGTATTGCTCTTTGTTTGTGTAGTAACTCAAACAAGGAGCAATGGTCTCAAACTCAACAAGGCACAATGTAGGACTGAAAGCATGGCGATACTTTTCCACTCACAGGGTTACAAACCCATGGAACCACCTACCAATTGAAGCCATAAATGCCAAAACTCTCTTGAACTTTAAAATCCAGCTTGAAAAAATCATCAGAACAAATGGGGGAGACTTTTATTTATTTATTTACTTATTTATTTATATACAAGAAGGTACATTTGGGTTATAAGAGTACAGAGCATTGAAGTTATACATTCGTGAAAAGCCACTATCCTCTTTTCTGTATTCCACTCAAAACATTACATTTCATTTCTACTGAAAGTGTTATTCACCTGGAAATATACGAGGTATATCCTAAATATTTAGTAGTTAGTCCCATACCAGGATGTAGGGTTATATTATGTAAGTGTGCTTGCAACAAAACCTAAATATTTAAACATTCTGCTTCCATAATGAACATGTCCTATGGTCATGGGGGGGCCCTGGACAAGTGTCCATCGAGCCCATGCAGTAAGACAACTCTGGGTACTGAATGAATTATTGGAAAAGCTTTTATAGTTTCACAAATAATTAATGCTCCATAGTCTTGTTATTTATGCACGTGCACACTTGATTGTTTACATGTGCTTCTATTCAACAGCCCACATCAGTGTTTGAAGAAGCAGTTCCAGAGGATGGTCTTGTGACACCGCGAAATTTGGGTATAAAAGATGCAGCAATACTTGCTTTCAAGGATCACAAAGTTTCCAAAACAGCTTTGATACGAGTGAGTAGATGGAATCTTGCACTGTGACAAATGTAGTGTTATGATAAAATATCTAATGTAGACAAAAGATTAACCCAACAGTTAGCCCAAATAACCCTTGCTTCCTCACCAATCACTCACAACCTTTCCTCAAACAGGCTACCTATAACCTCGATATGGACACTTTACTCCAAAACTCCAACTTACTATCCTCCCTATTCTGCCTTGGATTTATACAACTCCTAAAACATTACTACAACTGGAAGATAACATTCCAAAATCTGCACCAAACTCAGCCATAGCTTCAGTCTTTGTCTCAACAATGAAAAATTTCTATGCAAATACCACAGTGATTTACACAGATGGCTCTTGCATCCTCCTGAATAACGCACTCTTGGTCACTAGCGCTGTATGGATCCCGCATTGCCATCTCAAGCAGGGATGGCGGTTATCAAACCATCTATTTTCACAGCTGAAATATATGCTCTATACCAAGCTCTACAATTAATCACATTACCAATTGTGATATATACAAACTATAGTGACTCCAAGAGTGTGGCTTAAGCAATTATGTACTCTTCCACAACGTGCAAAGAGTTTGTTTACCCATGCCTTTAACTTCTTCATGAACATCGATTGAACAATTATGAAATCTCCATCCAATAGGTCCCAGTGCATTGTGGTATACAGTACTCCATAATGAACTTGTAGACCAGCTGGCCAAAGCAATGCACAAAATGCCTTACATTACCCGGTATCCAATTTCTCATGTTGCACATAAAGGAGACTTCAAAGATACAATCACCCAAGATTTTGTAATGAAATGGAAAACATCATGCTCATCTCTATACTATGGGTCCATAAAAAAAGAAATGGGAAACTTGGAAACATGTCAGATATAAAAGCTGAGAAATTGATGTAACGATGACCAGATCAAGGCTGGGACACACCAAACTGGCAGCACACAGCTCTAAATACAGAACAGACATCAAGAATGCTGCATCCACTGTCATGTGCCAGAAAGAAACAATCGAATACTACCGCTTTCACTGTTTCCAACATCATAGTAACAGAGTAAATGTCAAACAAGTACTTATTGCACTTAAAATACCTTTTACCATTGAGCATATATATTAGGTAGTGACCTCTTGTTACATAAAAAATATCAAATAGTCAAAGCACTGGCTAAATATCTCCAGTCGACCAACAAATTGGGTCACATTTGACCTGTCACATTTATACCTGGAGCCACCAACAATCCAAACACAGAAAACAACTGCTTTGCCACAGCACCAATGATCAGCTGAACCATAAATACAACATCCCGCCCTACAGTGCCGCAAGTGTCCCTCTAACTCATGCCTATGTTTAGTCACCGCTCCTCTATCTATAATACAAGACAACAAACGCTTCTGAAACCTTGTCATTCTCAATATTAACGCATCTCCCAACATTTGTACTCGTGCAGTTATCAGGAGGATAGACCCTTCATGCAAACTGCATGTACCATCAAGAAGAAGAATATTTGTCAATGCTAAAACTAGGCATGTTCAATATTGTATCAGTAAATTTTGTGGTTTCTGTGGGGAGCTCCTTTAGCTCCCTGGAGCTATCGGACTAATATACGATATAATAGTCTGGGGCATCAGTCAATTGGAGTTCAGCCTACCGGAGACCAGGAGCCAGAACCTGGCCCCCTCAGAGAGGCACAGGAAGCAATGGTCTATGGAAACCCCTATGTGGTTGGGAGCATTCCATGTCTGCCGTTGACCAAGGTTAGGCACCCAGAAAGGTAGGCATAACAAAACAGACCCCACTTGGTAAGAAATTGCAACCGAAGACCGAACAGGGAGGCAGAACTCCCCCCAAACTCATAAAGAAATAAGCAAAACAAGCAAACGTCATATACCACCACCGCGCTGCTTGTTCGCACAGCCCTCCCCTTCCCGGGAACGGGAGGTGGGGGGAGTCCCAGACCCCCCCCCCCCCCCGCACTGGCTACTCACACCTTCAGTTCATTGGCTGAAGTGCACTGTTCACTGAGCTGTTCATTCAGGCTCAACAAGCCACAATGTAGGACTGAGGAGATGCTCTTTCATCCACAGGGCTATAAATCCATGGAACCGCCTATCCGCCTAAGCTGTAAATGCCAAAACTGTTAAATTATAAAATCCAACTGGAAAAGATCATCAAGGTAAATGGAAGGACCTCTTACAAGCCACTGGCAGCCTGTCCTTGTTGAGGCCACTAGTATTAGTGGCCCTCAGGTAAACTCAGGTACTTAAATACAATATTTCCTGTCTCGGTAGGGTCTGGTAAGGGTTGGGTCCCTGTAGTACAGTCGGGTTCATTCTTAATGCACAGTTGAGAATTTTGGGTTTGAATCCCGGGTGGGACAAAAATAGTTGGGCACATTTCCTTTCACCTAATGGCTTTGTTCACCTAGCAGCAAGTAGGCACTCAGGAGTTAGTCCGCTTGTTGTGGGGTTGCATCTTGGGTGGGGTCAGTAATTCGGCCTTGTGGGGGGGACCCCGATAAAAGCCAAAATGTGCATGAATACACTCTGGCTTCCTGTCCCCTCGACACAATAAATTAAAATTCTGTAAAAATGGAATAATGATAATTATGAAAATCTAATTTCTTTTATAGCACGAGCCATGGCTGCTGAGTCGGTGTGTGGTAGCATGGGAGTCTGAGGGAGAGACTGAGTGTTTTGAAATGACGGATCTCAACTCCAAAGATACATACATTTTCAAGGTAAGTTTAATTGAATTTTTTTGTGGAACATTTGTGCTGATCAGTTATGTATTTAACATGCAGGTATTTGAATGCTTTAGATTGATAAAATTTAAGTTTATAGGTAGTTGAAGGTACAGTTAAAATTGATTACTAAATACAGTATTTGTGGCTTGCTCAATATAGTGTATTTGCATATACATTTCAGTGGGACTTTACTCAAATGGCCCGAGGTTGACCGGAACCCTTAGAAGGTTGGAAAGCATCGGCTAATGAACAAAGTCTTGGTGAACCAGGATGATGATGATGATTATGTCATTAAGCCAACAATATCGAGTAAAATTTGGAATGCAATGAAATTTCAGTCGTAAATAGCCTTGGTCTAATTTTGGCAACAGTTATGCTCTTCATTATATATTTTAAAAGATTTTATTATTGTATTTACCACAGTAATTGATTTGTTGAGACATGACACAGGCTGATTGTTAGGATGGATTACAAGAACCTTCAAATCCAGGGATCCCATCGCAATACATACTTATATTATTCAAATCGCCCATGCTCTCTCGTCTTGAGTACTGCTCGATATTCCTTTTCCCCCCTTCAGACCATAAGAGATTACTGAAATAGAGGGACTATATAAGAAATATTGCCGGAACAAAAGTATAAGTCTTCAAGAAAAAATTGTACAGTTTTCTGCTAGTAGTACTGAACCAACTGGGCTGTAATGGATATGTGGGCCTGCAGGCTGCTCCAATGAATGTAAGAGCCTGTTGGATCAAGCTCTTACAAGTCAAGCCTGGCCTCAGGCCAGACTTAATAATAATTCACTGAGTAAGGGGGACAGGCAGGCAGTTTATTCATACAGTACATGTTAAGCTTATATCGATTCCCCCCACCCCACCTCCCCTCCGCAAGGTCGAACTACTGACCCTCCCTAGGATGCAACCCTACAACAAGCTAACTCCTGGGTACCTATTTACTGCTAGGCGAACAGGTGCATTAGGTAATAGGAAATGCACACAACCATTTCTGTCCCTCCCAGGATTCGAACCTGGAATTCCCGATTATGAGTTGAGAACGAACCCAACTGTATTACCTCAATTTGGAAGATGTTAATCCAGATCACTTCTTTAAAAGGTAAAGTATAACACATACCAGGAACAATGGCTTCAAGCTCGACAAGCCACACTGCAGTTTGTTGCAAAATAGGAGATGCTTTTTCACCCATAGGGTTGTAAACCCTTGGAACTGCTACATGTCGATGTTGTAAATGCCAAGACAATACTGCATCTCAAAATCCAGCTAGAAAAAAATCATCAGGAAAAATGGAGGGATCTTTGACAAATTACTGGCTTCCTGTCCCTGTTGAGACCATTAGAAAAATGGTGGCCCTCGGTTAAATTCAAATAAATGATTGGACATGTTTATCATATTCATTAATCTGATATCAAAATCACATGGAAATTAAACTCATTAACTATTTAACTGAGTTCTTAAGTTTTTTGGCACCAAATTTCCAGTGTAATGTGCATCACTCTACTGGACACAATCCAATTTAAAAAAAAAAAAAAAAAAAATCCATTTTCTGCTACTGTACCAGAGTTCCTGTATTGAGTGGAATTCCCATTGAAATACAATTGTAAACAATGAATGTTGAATTTAGATTACATTTTATATCTTTCAGCACTTTCTATTATAGAATTAACATGGAATTTAACATTTTCCTTCCATTTACAGGGCAGTGACTCTACAAGTACAGAGGCATGGTTCCGGTACATTCAGTTCCATGCTCTCTCCGTGGGGATGTGGAAGAGAAGACGACCTGCCCTTGCTAATATTATGATCAATGGAATGAATAGGAGCTAGTATAAAATATAAGCTTTATTGAACATTTTGTACGTTACTTATGCAAGTGGTAGAATAATGCAGGTTTTGGAAGACTTCTTAGAAAGTGTTGCATGTGTGTGTGTGTTAAAGTGCCGAATGATTAACGAAGCTAATTATTATAACAATTATTAAAATAATAGTGATAAAGACTAAGAAATTTTTGACAAGGTATTTAGTAGCCTTCATTCTAGAGCACTGAATTTCATAAGTTATGAGTTACAGAGTTACAGAGCTTTTAACCCTTAGACAGCGGTTATCATCAGTTGTTGATTCACAGAGTAATGCAGTTATCATCATCATGATGATTTACAAAATTATTGTCTGGGTTTTACATGTATGAGGCAAATATGGATATAATAATTCTATGTGGATGTAATGGAGTTTACCTTGACCCATGAAAAAATCCTGCTACCATTTCTTGGCACAAATGCAGTTATCATCATGAATGTTACTAGGGGAATGAGGTCATCCAAATATATGATGATTAAAACAATTGTTATCTGGGTTTTACATGTGTGATGCAAATATGGATACAAAACCTCTCCTTGGATGTAAATAAAGAAAAATAAGTGATAAAACACTCAGTGAAAAATCAAAGAATAAATCAGGAAGCATCAGCAAAATGGAGTACAGTACTAGGCATTGATTAACAAGTGCTAGATGCAGAATTACAGAACGCCTCCATCCAGTGAAACAACATAGTCACTTATTTTCATGTTTTTCGTATATTCTGCATACAAATTAATATTCCTAGAATGATTTTTTTTTTCTGTGCACAGGCTGGTATGACCATTTCTCTGTAGCCACTGTCCAAGGGTTAATATTCAAAGAGCAATGTGTGTAATTACCTAAGTGCAGTTACAGGATGAGATCTATGCTCTTGGTGTCATGTCTTCTCAGCACTCTTTGTCGTATATAGCTTTGAAACTACTGTACTGGCTGCTTTGGCCTCCACCACCTCACATAACTTGTTCCAACTGTCTATCACTGTTTCTGAAAGGGAATTCTTTGTTATTGTTTTGGGAGCTTTGTTTAGTTATCTTAAATCTATGACCTCTTGTTCTTGAACAAGGTCTCAAAAATACTTCCTTATCAATTTTGCCAATTCCTGTTACTATTTTGTGTGTAGTGATCATATCATCTCTTTTTTCTCCTATCTTCTAGCTTTGGCATATTTAATGCTTCTAACTTCTCCTCGCAGCTCTAGTCTTTCATGTTTAGTTGCAAGTAGCCTGCATAGCGTTTCGGGCATGTCCTTAATCCTAATTTTCAACACACACAAACACACACACATCCCAGGAAGCAGCCCAAGGCATCTACCTCCTAGTTTCCTTCTACAACACTTTTTGTAAAAGAGAACATCTCTTTTTTTCTGGACCTTTGCTTTTTTAGTTTGAATCTATGACCTCTTGTCCTTGAATTTACAAGGTTACAAAATTTCCTCCTGGTTTAGTTTATCAATTTCTATTACTATTTTGTACAAAGTGATCATATTGTATCTTTTCCTCCCATCTCCTAGCTTTGGCATGTTTAATGCCTCCAGCATCTCCATATACCTAATGTTCTTTAGTTCTGGGAGTCATTTAGCAGCATGTCTTTACACCCTTTTTAATATTTTTAGTGCTTCTTGAAATAAGGGCACCACACCATTGTTGCATATTCTAATGTTAGTCTCGCAAATTGTTAGAACAGTTTTTTTTTTAATATTTCTCCGTCCATATATTTAAACGTGATTCTGCAATTTGCTAACAGTGTAGGTTTGTGTATGTGTGTGTGTTTGAGCGTGTGGGCATGTGCTCGCATTTTATCTTACTGGATTTTACATTTGACTGTTAATGAGCAATGTATTATTTTAGTATTTGTCAAGTCACAAAACCAAATAATTAAGCATTTGACATTCCTATTAGTATAGTTTTGTAATGATTTATATCACCAATGTGACAAGTCACCAGTCCTGCATATTGATACATGGAACAAATGCAGTGTTGTCACTGGCTCTACGAGTGACCAAGTGTCACTGGCCCTACCGGTGCACAAGTGTCACTGGCCCTACTGATGCACAAGTGTCACTGACCCTACCGGTGCACAAGTGTCACTGACCCTACCGGTGCACAAGTGTCACTGACCCTACCGGTGCACAAGTGTCACTGGCCCTACCGGTGCACAAGTGTCACTGACCCTACCGGTGCACAAGTGTCACTGACCCTACCGGTGCACAAGTGTCACTGACCCTACCGGTGCACAAGTGTCACTGACCCTACCGGTGCACAAGTGTCACTGACCCTACCGGTGCACAAGTGTCACTGACCCTACCGGTGCACAAGTGTCACTGGCCCTACCGGTGCACAAGCATTACTGGCCCTACTGATGCACAAGTGTCACTGACCCTACCGGTGCACAAGTGTCACTGGCCCTACCGGTGCACAAGCATTACTGGCCCTACTGATGCACAAGTGTCACTGACCCTACCGGTGCACAAGTGTCACTGGCCCTACCGGTGCACAAGCATTACTGGCCCTACTGATGCACAAGTGTCACTGACCCTACCGGTGCACAAGTGTCACTGACCCTACCGGTGCACAAGTGTCACTGGCCCTACCGGTGCTGAAGTGCCAAATCAACCCTTCACCCAACCTAAGCAGACACTAACATGGGCAGCATTATTTACCTATGTCAATTTGTTGAATGTATATTTTCTCCATTTTTAACAAAATACTGTAATACTTTTTTTGGCTGATGATACACAGTATAATACTGCATACTGTTTTTTCTCTGTATAGTACTAGATAATCTGCTGTACATTCTTTTATTGTCTATAAAGTTGTCAATATGAACATTCGAAAGTATATTATTAATGTACCAGTTTTATATCCATACACTTATTTTTTTTAACTACTTTGTGTGACGTTCAAGGACATATAATGGTACTGATTGAGGTAGCTTATTAAATTTTATAATAATTAAAAAATCTAAGCAAAATCAGAGTTAATTGTATTAAAAATTTTATTCTATGTGCAATATAACTTTTTATTAATATTACTATATCATAGAGCAATGATTAAATAATTTGAAATTAATACTGTATATTCTTCAATTTGTATAAATATATTACTTCTCAGCATGCAGTTTATCAATATAATTGTTTGCATGTTATAAAGGCTTTCATAATAACTGGTCTCAAATTCTTAAAAAACACACACATAAGAGCTAGAGCTCGATCCTGCAGGCACAAATAGGTAAGTACACAAGGTTCCGGGTTCGATCCCCGGCAGAGGCAGAAACAAATGGGCACAGTTTCTTTCACCCTGATGCTCCTGTTCACCTAGCAGTAAATAGGTACCTGGGAGTTAAGACAGCTATTTCGCTGTCTACGGGTCTTTCCTGGAGATGTCTTTCGTAAACAGCTACGGGGTGTTTCCTGGGGATGTGTAATAAAAAGGAGGCCTGGTCGAGGACCGGGTTGCAGGGACGCTAAGCCCTGAAATCATCTCAAGATAATCTCAAGATAAGATGGTGTCTTGGCACTCTGTCATACACTGCTTTGAAACTACTGATTTTTTTGGCCTCCACCATCTTCTCATTTGCCTTGTTTCTGTCGTCTACCACTGTTTGCGAAAGTGACTTTTCTTATACTGTATTTCTTTGGTAGCTTTGTTTAGTTAGCTTAAATCTATGACACTGATTTAAGGTTCCTCTTTTCTGGTGAATATCAAATCCAGCATGGAGGGAACATTCCCTTCCCTCATCTTCATAGCTTTTTTAACATATTGATGCATGAATGTCTACAGGATGAGGTTTGCAAATCTATAGGTCCAAAATTCCTGGACTGTACCTGGATGGGATTCTGGGAGTTCGTCTACTCCGCAAGCCCGGCCCAGGGCCAGGCTTGATTGGTGAGAGCATGATCCAAGAAGCTGTTGCTTGAAGAACCCCACAGGCCCACACATTCACCACAGCCTGATTCGTCTGACACATCTTGGAGAAAACTATCTAGTTTTCTCTTGATGGTGTCCACATTTGTTCCTGAAGTTCTAGTTTTGTACGCTTCCCAGTCTATGGATTTCAAGTAGAAGTCACCTACTACTAGCAGTAGTGATCTATCTATATCCACTCTTGCTGTAATCCCTCTCATGATTGTTATGAGGCCCTCTTGTTACTTTTGTTATTTATGAGTCCAGCTCCTCTTTGTCTCTGTGTTGCATGACAGCAGACTGTATGCATCTATGATTATCAGCTTATTATTCTGATTACAAATCTCCAGTGCTATTTTGTCAACTTCTCGTGGATTGGCAATCATTATTTCATTTACCTTTTGCTGTTCTTTTAATAGCATGACAATGCCTCCACCTTTCCTAATTTTTCTGTTCTATCTCCAAATGTGTACTCACATAGTTGTGCTTGTGGGGGTTAAGCTTCGGCTCTTTGGTCCTGCCTCTCAACAGTCATTCTACTGGTGTACAGATTCTTAAGCTTCTTGAGCTCTATCATATCTACATTTTAAACTGTATATGGAGTCAGCCTCCACCACATCACTTCCTAGTGCATTACATTTACTAAACTACTCTGACACTGAAAAAGTTCTTTCTAATATCTTTGTGGCTCATTTGGGTATTCAGCTTCCACCTGTGTCCTCTTGTTCATGTTCCTCTCGTGTGAAATAATCTATCCTGGTCTACCCTGTCAATTCCCCTGATAATTTTGGATGTGGTGATCACGTCTCGCCGAGCTCTCCCGTCTTCCAGCGACGTGAGGTGAAGTTCACACAGCCTTCCACGTAACTCATGTCTCTTAGTTCTGGGACTAGGCTAGTGGCATACGTCTGAACTTTGTGAGTGTATATGTGTATTTAAATATGACCAAAAAGGGGCAGATCAATGATTCTAGCATTAACCTTTTCTATATTTTTTATATTGTTCTTTGCTTTGGAGGGAAGTTGAAAATTTACTCTCTAAAGATCCGTTAACAATTTTATTTGCCTGATATGTGGCATTGAAAGACACGTTTCATTAAAGATCTCTTCAATATCTACAGAGGCAAAGAGAAAATGGATACGTAATAGCTGGGGTTGCATTGTATACACAATGTAGGATGAAATGAAGTGAGATGTTACACAGTCAATGTTGGCTGGGCTGTAGGCAAGGTGTCAGGTAGAAGTTCTGTCTTAGTCTCAATGATGGTAAGGTGTACTCAAGTGTAATTACAAAACATGTCCTTCAGCAACATGTGTCAGGCCTAATAAAATGTTAAATTGAAATAATGATATATATATATATAATATGGGTACCACCTCTGGTTGGAAAAAGGGGGACTCTTAGCCTCAGAGGAAACCACGCATAACGCATGAGAGGGAATGTTTAGATCCCCTCCAATACAGTTTTTGTGTGCTTTTCTCCTACCACCCCTTCCTTTTGTGTGTGTGTGTGTGTATATATATATATATATATATATATATATATATATATATATATATATATATATATATATATATATATATATATATATATATATATATATATATATATATATATATTATATATAGTACTTTTAATACCCTATTAATATCCCCTAGTGTTCTGTCTTGTGTTGATGCCACATCATCCTTTCCACCTCACTCAAATGTAATGCCACATCACCCTTCCCACCTCACTCAAATGTAGATATAAAATCAGGGAAACGCAAGTTCTAATCAGTTGTGTATTTGTGAAGTCTTTGAAAATGTAATAAGTTTTACGAAACGCGCCCGTGTCGCGTCAGACTAGAAATAAAAATGAATTTTGGAGAAGTGATTTTTGATTTACCTCCAACAGTGAAGCGTAATGTACGAAAGATTGAGAAAATTCGTGTTAGAATTATTAATCTTACTTTTTCGGTCATATTTAATAATATATATATATATATATATATATATATATATATATATATATATATAATGTGTAAATCACAAAAATTAACATGTGATGAAAAATGTGACAGTGTCAGACCATGGAGGAAGA